ACTACTCTCTCTCTCTCTCTCTCTCTCTCTCTCTCTCTCTCTGAAACCATGAAAGTCACGCCACAGTATTTGGAAATGCTCTCTCTCAAGGAGGCTCTGTTAAACCATGAAATTTATGTAACAGTATTAGGTAGAACGAATGCTCTTATCTTGGAGGTGCAGGAGGGGGGTAACTGGGTCTCGTCAGTGACATGACAGCCACAACCAGCACACCCAGCACCACCCACCCAGCTGCAGTGTATATCCATTCATCATTGGCTTCCTTTTTCTTTGCACGCTGCATAAGAAAATTCAACAGTTCCATGAGAAAATTACAATAACAAAGATCAAAAGCAACTCTTGAAATTTTCAGGGTACATATTGTAGAGAGAGAGAGAGAGACTACTGCATCTCTGGTTATAAATTCCACAAATATAGGGAGGATTGGACATGCATTTCAGCAACACATACATACAAAAGGCAACAGGAAATAGAGAAAGTAGATGGATAAACAAATTTCGGTAACAAAATGCAAGCTCACTCACCCCTACATATATCGCTCACTAGAATCATGGAGAAAGTAGAATAAATCCTTTATATATCAAATAGCGTAAGATTGTAGGATGTGTGCACTATTTACCAACACTATAGGCTTAAATCTTAAAATGCAGAAAACCAAAGCGGAATGAGTTGTGAATAAATGGAAACCTTAGGTGAAATTGATAGCACTTTTTAATACGTGGCAGAATTTTTTTTGGGCACGACCATCTCGCCCATGTTTTTTTCTTTTCTTTTTTTTTTTCAAACTGTTGACCTTGTATTAAGTGTGAGAATATACAGTATACCAAACTGCCCAAACCAGAGCTCAAAAAAACGACCGAGAAGAGTGGCAAACCAAAAAGCTATAAAAGCAATACAAGATCACATAAAACAGAGAGTTTTAAGCCTGTATACAAAAACATAGCCTAGGACATAGCCATGGAAGCGTCTTGCTTAGCTAGTGCATCAGCCACTTAGTAGGCCACCCTCCAAGTATGTATCCAAGAGACCTGCATATGCCTGTAAATTTAAAAAATCTAGTAAAAGGTAGCCGTGAGTCTCCAGGGTGGAATAGTCTCTCGTGAAGCCCAGGAGATGACATTCCTTGAGTGTCCCTCGACAACCAGACCAGTGCTCCAAGAGGAGTTGAAAAGTTTGAGGCCTTCCAAGAGGGCACGAGGTTCTGAGGTGGAGTCCGCGATACCAATAGGAAAGGCGAAGAAGATGAGCTTCCTGAATAAGCCCCCAATACCAGCGGGACCTAGGTTGCCCACAGAGCACCCGTCGAAGTTGAGTTTGGTGTACCCAAGTCCGGGAGTCTTGGGACACACGCCTGGGCCCGTGGTGAAGGATGGTGGTCTAGTTGAGGTGAAACTCCAAGACGGAGTGAAATTGAAATGGGTGTGGTTGGTGGCCCAGAAGATCACCATGGATTTGATGGACTCCTTAACTATATGGCGGTGAGAATGCTGCCCCCGAAAAATTCTGTTGATGAGTTCTTTCCAAATGGATCAAAGGGTAGCCGCTACTGCTGCCTTCCAAAGCATAGAACCAGATTTGGACCACAGGAGGAACACCATTTGCTGGAATAGCTGGGGAACTGATTCCGATGTTACCCACGACCAACCAAAAAGTTGAAGCAAGTCCTCCCAGATTCGGCTCACAAAGTTGCAGTGGATGAACAAGTGAGTTAGTTTCCTCCTCCGATAGGCATGTAACACATCTGTTGGGGATTTGAAGGCCTCTTCTTTGGAGTTGAGGACTCTTTCCCACAAGGCAATCCAATTGAAGACCTGTATAAGGGATCCAGGCTTTGGCGATGGTGGAAAGTTGCAAGGGTTGAGCGACAGGAGGGCAGATGAGTTGATGAAAGGAGGAGACTGAGAAAATCCCTAAAGAAGCCGGGGTCCAAATGATTTTGTTCTCCCCATTAGGTGAAAAAGAAAAGGAGCGGAAAATAGATGAGAGTTCGAGAAAGGCCAAGAGCTATTCATCATCGTTACGAAGAGGTCTGCAGAAATTAGGATTCCAGGATCTAGAGCTTCCGACTAACCCAAAGAGCTCTGCTATTTGAAGCGGTGGGGGAAGTGAAGAGAAAGAGGGAGGTGTCCTAACCAGAGGTCAAACCATAACCCAACTCTTGTCCCCCCCCCCCCTTGGGTGAAAGCGAATTGAGGATTTGAAGATGTGAAGACTATCAAGTAGGGATTTCCAAATCCCGAAGCTGAGTGGAAATCCCAGTCAAGGAAGAACCATGGAGAGGAGCGAAGGCGGTATTTGCGGCAAAAGATCTGATGCCACAGCTGGCCCCCTGATTAGCGAATCTCCACCACCACTTTCCCAACAAAGCCAAATTATTCTTTTGTAGGTTCCAGATCCCCAAGCCCCCGCATGCGTTGGGCTGGCATACGGAGTTCCAAGCTATGAGGTGGTAATTTTTGGATGCCCCATCTCCCGACAAAAGGAAGTTGCGCCTCAGAAGTTCAAGGCGATGAGCCACCGAGGCGGGTATGTAGAAGAGGGACATCTAGAAGATGGGGACGTTAGAGAGAGTGGCTTTGATGAGGGTAGAACCCGCCAGGGAGAGATATATGCCCTTCCAGATGCCCAATTTACACTCAAATTTATCCATAATGTGGCTCCATTTTGTCTTCTTAGGTTTCCCATGGCAAATAGGATAGCCCAGATAGGTGGAGAAGGTAATCAATGCCACACCCCATCTCTCGGGAAAAGTTTGGGTTGTGTGGGGGTCCAAGGCTATCCCAATCATCTTGGACTTAGCCAAATTCACCTTGAAGACTGTGGCAAAGCAAAGGCAATTAAGGAACAGGAGCAAGGTGTCGACCTGATTGGTGGAGGCATCGCAAAAAGGTCGCGCATCATCCGCGTATTGGAGGTGGTAGATGGTGGCGCCATCAGCGCCAAACGTAAAACCTTCCATCAGGCCGGCTGGGTACATTCTAGAGATGGATCAACTAAAAACTTCAGCTGCTATGGCGAAGAGGAAGGGGGAGAGGGGGTCACCTTGTCTAAGGCCTCTAGTCGAGGAAAAGAAGCCCCAGGAAGAGTCATTAATGAGAACGGAGAAATGGGGGTGATGGGGTCACCCCCATATCCACTTTCTCCAACAAGTACCAAAGCCCATTCTCCTTTTGGCCTCGTCTAGGACTACCCAATCAACGAGATCATAAGCCTTTTTGTGGTCCAATTTAATGACTAAGCATGGGGTTTTGGAGGTGGTTCTGGAATGGATGCAGTCATGCACCACTAAAGCTCCGTCCAAAATCTGCCGGTCTTGGACAAAAGGGCACTTTGGTTGGGGGAGATTACAGAGCTCAACACGGCTTTGAGCCTGGTAGCGAGGACCTTGACCAGTATTTTGTAAGAGCTATTTATCAGGCTCACGGGTCTAAAACTTTTGAGTTCCAGCGTACCTTCCACCTTGGGAATGAGCACAATGAAGGTGGCGTTCATGCCCTTGTGGATGATCCCTCTTCCGTGGAACTCAGCGAAGCAGAGAAGGTCTGGGCGCAGGAGTTCCCAAAAGCATTTCAAGATGGCCACAGGGAAGCCATCAAGGCTGAAGTGCGGTCCTGGCCAAGTTCATTAATAGCTGAGAGGATTTTCAATTCGCTAAAGGGCCTTTTGAGCCAGGAGGTTTGATCTGGGGTAAGGAAGAGAAAAGAAATGTCGGACATTTTGGGGGTTGGACAAGATGGAGCCTCGAAGAGGTTCTGGAAATAATCAATGATGGTTCTTACAATGAGAGAGGGTTGATCAATGGTAACCCCATGGGATTGGATTTGGGAAATGCAGTTGTCCCTCCTACAATTGGCAATTTTATGAAAAAAGGTTGTTATAAGATCACTGCTTTTGAGCCATTTTATCATGGAGTGCTGCGCCCAAAAAAATATCTTCCTTAGTCACTTTTATACTGGAGGCAAAGGAGAGATTCATTTTCCATGTAAGGGCGGAGATCTTCAATGAGATCTAAGTCATGGATGGAGGAGAGGAGAGATAGTTTATGTGCTTGGAAGTTATTGGTAGAAGCCTACTCCAAGACTTGAGGGCATTTTTCGAGAGGATGAGTTTCTTTTGGAGTCTGTATCCTGCCCAACCTTGTGCAAAAGGGGAGTAAGACGACCAACAGGCAGGCAAGAGGAATGAGAGGCTTGATACTTCAAGCCACACCATTTCAAACCGGAAAGGTTTAGGTCCTCCAGAGGAACGTGTAGTGTCAAGCAAAAGGGGTTGGTGGTCGGAAGTAATATTACGAAGAGTAAGAGAGTGTGTGCCGGGGAAAGAGGAGTCCCACTCTTAACTACAAAGAAATTGATCGAGTTTAGAGAAAGCAGAGGACTGGTTTGATCACGTGAATATTGCCCCTTGAAGGGGAACATCAAGGAGTTTGTGTTGGGATGAAATCAGCAAAATCGAGCATGGCCAAGGTAATTCGTGGAGTGGTGCTTCTCTAGTAGAACCATCTAGTTACAATGAAGACACCATCCGCTAGAGCCTGGGCTATAGCCACATCTAGTTATTGCCAAAGGAGGCTCTTGGCAGCATCAGAATTGGGACCATATACTGCTGAAAATTTCCACGGCAGCCCATCGAAGATACTAGAGAGAGATGTATACTGATTACTAAATGAGAAGCGATTAAAGAGGAAGTGAGGACATGAGAAGAAGGGTCCCAAATAACCAAGATACCTCCAGAGACTCCCTTCGCTTTTAGAGCAACCCACACAGGGTCTTCGGCCTCAGACTAGTCTAATCTGGTTAAGAGTGGGGGTCGGTAGTTTAGTTTCAATCAAGGCCAGAAGGGAGGGGGAGTATTTGGAGCAAAAAGCGTGAACAGAGTCGGTTTCTTTGAGCGGAGCAAGGCATTGAATATTCCAAAGCAGAATTTTCATGGTCTAGGAAGGGAGGGGGGCATCTAGGCGACTGTCAAGGAGTGTCTTGAGGGGGAAAAGCCACAGGAGAGGAAGGAGAATTGAAGGATGCAGGAGGTCCATCATCATAGTTTATTCTAAAAGCCAGGTTTGAAAATTCTCTGGATCCTCTGGAACTTACTTTGAGTCTAGTTTGTGCATTGGAGCGAAAGAATGCCTCCACATCTTCCGTCAAGCCACCAAATTTGAACCTACCAATGCTGAGAACCTAGTTCACATCGCCTTGCACCTTGTCCATTGCTAAGACGAAGTTGGATCCCACGGATGGAGGAGAGGATGACCAGGATGAAGAGGGCGCCTCCTGAGTG